TAAGCGTATTGCCGCTGTCATCACTTTCTTCAATTAATAATTATCGAAGGTGCACAGGAATCTCAGGGAGGCAAGAGGAAGAGCGAGGGGAGGAAGGTAACACCTCAAGGACAGCCTGTCTGAAACTGAGCAGACAGGTGAGCACCCAAAGGGGGTAAGGCTCAGCATCCACGAACCCCTCCCTGATCTGGACCTCCCAGAGGATGCTGCATCTCTGTTGTGACTCTTTAAATAGGACTCCTGGGCACGCCCTGCCTTCTCGACTCAACTGTCAGCTTCTCACGGACAGGGTCTCAGGGCTTGAGAGACAATGCATGGCTCCAGTGAAGAGTACAGGATGGGAGCCAAGCATGACGTCCCCACTGAACAGCTGATCAACCTGGGGCAGGTTACTTTTCCTCTCTGTGCCTTGGTTTCCCTCATCTGCCGGATGGATAATGACAGTGCCTACCTCCAAGGACTGCAGTAAAGATTAGAGTTAATACGCAGTGAGTGTGAACGACTGACTGTCTCTATAAATCCCTTAGAGCCTGGCTGGCATAATGCTTCTCATGCAGGAGATGCTCGGTAAACACGTGCAGACAGAATGATCTGCCCCTGATGGTGTTTTCTCCATCCCCCTGGCTCCTGTCCTAACCTTCTTGTCTTTTATGGAAGGTAGGGAAGTCACCGCCTCATTCTGAGCTAGTTTGGGGAATAAAAGCAACCCATCTGAATAACCCGGGTCCAAAAATAAAAAATCTTAAATAATCTGCAAATTTTCTCTAATGATATTAAAACAGACTGCCCACCCACAGACACGTAACCAGATAATTTCCAGACTTCCCCTTCACTTTCAGCCATGGAGTCTTAGAATCTTTTCATCCTAGAGTCAAGGCTCACTAATTCTGTATTTCTTTATTTTCTAAAAAGTATAAATGGAAAGCCAAATTGCTCAGAAAGCTGGGCCTCGTGTGTGTGTGTGTGTATGTGTGTGTGTTATACGTATGTCACATTTAAAAGATCCACATAAAGCCTCCAGGAAAGCCTTTAAAGTTACCAAACACACCCATATTCTTGTGCTTTATCAAAGTACAGTAAACGAATTGCCACAAATGAACAACAGCTCCAGAGTCAAGTAGATGGCACAATGTGATTTACGCCTATCGCATGAGATGAATAAATCGACGCTGGAAAAGATCAAAAGAAAGGCTGGAATTGTTAATATGTACAGGGCTCCACTGAAAATCTTAATAAAACTGTTTAGAGGAAAATAGAGGGATCATTTGTTGACATGAAAAGAGATACTGCATGCACTGAATTTCAAAAGCGGCATTCATTTTCATACACACACATATTAGATTTAGCTAAAATTAGCTCAGGTTTCTTTCTTTCTTTCTTTCTTTCTTTTTAGAGGTCTTAAAGAAATAAAGGTTTCAACATGATTTCACTGAGCTGCAGTTGGGCACTGAGCTTCCAGGGAGAAGACCCACTCATCCACCCAGCCACCCTTGCAGCCTGGCAGCAGCCTCCCCTGCCCCTCGGTCTCCCCAGACCGAGCACACAAAGGCTGCACTGCGCCAACGTTCCAGCTCCCCTCCGCGGCCTCTCACCTTCCCTCCATGTACTCCACGCCCGCTGATGCCAGCCCTTGAAATACAGTCATTCCCCCCTCCCACCTGGCAAACTTTGGGCAAACCCAAAGCCCAATTTCAAAGACCACTTTTATGCCAATGACTCCTCCAAATTTATCTCCAGACCTGACCTCTCAGCAAATGAGTTCCCACCCCATCTACAACTAAGATGCCCACTGGCACCTGTGCTCCAGCCAAAATGGCCCGGTGGGTTACATCCCAGGCACTCGCTGGTTGCGTTCCAGCCGCTTACACGGTCTTCCCCGGCTCCATCCATCTCTTCCCACAGAAATGCTAACCAGCCTTCAGAGCTGAACTCAGATGATCCCTCCTCCTCAAAGTCTTTCCTCACCATCCCACTCAGCATCATTCTGAATTCCTTCAGTGTCAGAATTTACCCCAGTAAGGACAACTCGCCCCATTCTGCTTTGTATTAGTTCTTTCCGGGCATTTCTTCTTTCCCCTACCTGACCACGAAGAATGCCACCTCCTTCTGGGAGCTCTTACTCACTTTCATTCCCACAGTACCATGTACTAGTTTAAAAAAGACACAGTGAATAAATGAATGAATCATTTCTTTACAGAGATGGTGCCTGTGAGCAAACTAGGTCATAACTTCACTATAGCCCTATCACATTTACGAAATAAGTGGAACCAGAAATACTTGTAACCTAGGTTTTAATTTAAAAAAAAAACCTTAATGGACATAATAGAGTACAGCATGAATGATACTATTTCCCTGCTCACGTTTAACCATCAACTGTGAGCACTGTAAGGAGGCCATTATTTATGCAAAATGTTTAGATAATGCTTATAAGCTTCCTTTAAATGCAATCACAGAAAATGTCAGCTGCTTAGAATTCAAGGTGACTCTGTACTACTTTGTTGACAATACAATACGTATTCATAAGACACTCAGACTTGCTCAATATACTATAAAAACCTCGGTGTCTTCTCAGTAAGCTGCATCTATTGGCCAAGAGATAGGATTTTTTGTTGCTTGCGTTTTCACAATGAAATTCTCTTTTAAACACCACAGGTGAAAAAACAAACGTGCATGTGTATTAACCACATATGCAATAAAACGACTGCCCCAAAAACTTCAGCGTGAGGATTTTCTGCCTAGCCTATGAAAAAGTGAACCCCTAAGAGATAAAGCAGCAGCGGTAAGGCATCTTACCCCTTTCCAGTCAGCTGACACTTGCAGACCTTAAGAAGCTTACCTTTGCATGTAACTGTGGGGTTATTCTATTTCCTTTTAGGGTTATTCTATTTCCTTTTAAACGACACCTCCCTGACCCACTGCCCATAAAATGTCAAGGACCTAGGTCCATATTTCTCAAGGATATAATGTTTGGGATCACTTCCTGACTGCCCCCCCCGGCCCCATCCCCCAAGCAGGACTTTTCTGGCTACCCTTCCTGAGACATTGTACTTCAGTCACTCCGATTTTTGTTTCTTTTTACTTGGACCACACATAACTTCATTTGTGCACCCAACTTCTTACAACGAGAGGAAAACACCACGTATGCACCCTATCGCAGCAAGAGAGATGGACTCACACAACATTCAGAAAAATAAATAAAAGGCTCATTTGCTTTGCAGAGCTGCAAATGTCTACAGTGTCAGTCCAAAGATCAAGGTACAGGCGTATTTACCGGCTCCTAGTCATGTATGGTCCAGGAGCAACCATCAGAAAACAAGAACATTATACTTATCCTGTCAAGTGGTTAAGTTACATGATCACAAAGATAACTTATGTTCACAGATCACAAACCATACGCTGGTACTATCCTACTCTGTATACATGTATTATTTCATTCCATTCTCACAGCAGCCCTAGAAGAAAGTTCTAATCTTGGGGCGCCTGGGTGGCTCAGAGGGTTAAGCGTCTGCCTTCAGCTCAGGTCATGATCCCAGGGTCCTGGGATCGAGCCCAACGTCTGGCTCCTGGCTCAGCGGGGAGCCTGCTTCTCCCTCTCCCTCTGCCTCTGCTTCTCCCCCTGCTCATTCTCTCATTCTCTCTCTGTATCTCTGTGTCACGAATGAATAAATAAAATCTTTTAAAAAAGAAAGGAAAGAAAGAAAGTTCTAATCTTATCTCCACCTTACTCATCAAGAAACTGAGGCACAGAAAGCTAATGGGACCCAGTGGCAGCTCCAGATGCTAAATGCAGACAGGCTGGTTCCAGAGCCCCGTGCTCTTAGCTCAGATGCCATGGAAATTACAGGTTCACTTAAAAACTCAATCTTAGGTATAGAGGGGGAGCCCTGTATTTAAAGAAAGCTAGGGAATCATTTTTCAACAGAACATTTCGGTAAAGCAAATATCCACCTCTTAACAAATTAGTTGCAAATCGGGAATTTTATACGTGAGGTGTGGAAACGGCAGACCATGTGTCTCGCCAAGGAAGGAAACAGAACATGACTCGGGAAGAGCTGCCCAGAGACCACCCGATTCAGCAGTTCCCAAACCTGTGGAGCATCAGTATGATTCCAAGAGACCATTAAAGGTTCATTTTGATTCAGGAGGTGGAGCCCCAAATCCTTCTCTCTCTCTCTCTCTCTCTCCACCCAACCCCCACTCTCTTTTTAAGCTTTCCAGGTGATTCTGTGGCCCAGCCAGGCTTGGGAACCTCTGAAGGAGTCCACTTCCACAGGTCCTAGCAGGACCACTCCCAAGGTAAACAGCAAGAGGGGATCTATTTCACAATCCCCTTTGGTTGCATACACCAGGGCTCCCAAGCTCTCTTGCTCCAACTTCTGTCTAACTTCCATGTCTCCCGATTTCATGTAGGCAGGATCTTCTTGTCCTCTCTTCAATACAGAACCATGAGTCATCAACACCGCATACACCCCTGTGTCTGCATGACTCTCCAGGCCAGAAAAATTTACTGTACGTGAGGCAATCAGGAAGTTGTAAAATCCAAACAGACACAAAGAAATTCAAGATTCGACAAATACTGGCTGCCACTGAACAAACAGGCCTCTGTCTCCCTACACTTGAATCACTCTACAAAAACCTAAAACGTGAAAACCGTGACTTACGGTCACAGTTTGGCAGCGAAACGGTCTCATCGCATTAAGGAAAAGGTGACAACGGAAGACAATCAGGCTCGAGCTTAACACACCAACGGCCAATCGTTACCAGGTCAAATGCAGACTTCTCCGTGAACCACTTTCTTCTAAATTAAACCAAAAAGAGAGACACTTCAAGCCAAGTTTTTAAAAATGCTCTTGGCAATTTCTCAATTTCCCTCTGAAGGCAGTTTGCCAAGGCAGTCACACCGAACGGTCCACGACATGTGAAAGCGTGGGTACGGGGTGATTTTCCGGGTCAGATGTGATCCTTGGATGGAAACTACACAAACATAGCCAAACTCTCACCTGATATGTGATGCACTTCCCTGTAGTGGCCGTGGAAGAGGAGACCGCCTTGCAAGGATGACACACAAATCCGCGGCTCGAACGGACCACCCTGGCGACTTGCCGCACGATGCTCCTGCAGGGGTGGGGGGGGGGTGCAGGAGAAGAAATCCAAAATGAAAACCAGGACAAATGGCTTCCAAAAATAATTCCATCTTAAGTACACTGAAATCTAAACTTTAAGGACATCAAATTGTGCATTTTGTCTTATGAGAATTACAGATACCAGCCAGCTCAGAAGGCAGGTCTGGTTTGAGTCAACAGGGCTCAGAGGGAGGCCACCACACAAAAAGGTCGTCCCTTCAATCAAATTAAGAGCTCGGCCTCCCCATTGGAGCCAGGCACTGTCATTCTTTCCCCTAATGATTCTAACCAATCATCTGATAAACACATGCTGGTAATCACAGGATATCAGGTGAAATGGGCATGGGTTGAATAGTAGTAATTAAGCCAAAGTCTAATTTTCACATGGCATGTATTACTATCAACATGCAACTTGAGGAACAATCACACAAAAAAAGCACAGTTATTGGCATACCAGTCGAATGGGGTAGAAAAATGTATCAAATGCAGAAAAAATTGTGAAAGTATGCACATGTTCACTAGACTTTCCACTGGATTTTAAATTATTTCTTTTTTGAATGTATGTCTACTTCATTTTCATTTTGCCACAATGCCTTGCTCATGGTTAAGTAAAAATCATCCACTGTATAATGAATGAGTGAATGTGTGAATGGATGAACAAGAGAATGAATGAATCTTCCATATACCTTTCCATCAGGGAGCTTGGTGCTTGTAGTAATTTTTGTGAGGTAAAGACCTATGCACAGAAATGGAAGAAGTTGAGGACTTGATCTGCTAGCAGAGTTTTCAGCCCTATTAAAATAATACTTTTAAATACTGGTCATTCCCAACTGCCCACATGAAATAGAAAGAATCAGAAGCACAGTTATAAACTAACCCCCCAACTAGTCATTGCTGGGCAGATTTTCCATCTTTGATTACTAGAGCTGATCTGTATATTTGTTTGGGCTGATTTTTAAATTTAGTTTGGGTTTCCTTAGCCCACGCTACGTAACAGTAGGAAGGAGGAGGCCCAGGATTATATTGGATGTCAGAAAGAAACTATTCTGGAGTTATGAATACGATCTCCAACGTGAATAATCTGTAAACAGGTAAGTCAGCCAATTATCCCCGGGTACATGGCAACATATCTCTGTAGTCATGATTTTTTTCATCCGTACACACTCACTATTTTTAAAAGCACAGCCCAGCTGGAAAGGAAAATAATTTCAATCGCTTTCCAACACTTTTCAAAGTAATGAATAGTAGCCAAAGCATTCTTACTTCTAAGGAATCCATTCACCAAGTATTTACTTAAGCATCTACTGCATGCCGGGGACTGATATGCAAAAGAAGTTAAGTTTTCTAGTCCTTGGTTTCTCCCCTGTAATCTTTGAGTACGGAGAACATAGGGAAGCTGTTCTAAACTACAACATCTTTGAAGTCCTTGGAAGACTCCGCTAAGTCCAGCCCTCCATGAAGAAACCTGTGGAGTTACAATGTCAATGATGGCCAAGTTAAAGAGAGGATTCTCTTTGCCCTTCCACAGTAGCTGTTTTCTTGTTTGTATCTAGTAACTTCTCAAACGAAGCATCAACATACTGGATAATCAGTTCTGAGCAAGGTGCAGGTCCCGTGGATTTGCAGACAGCACTTGCTTTATGAGCTAACAGTTGAGTGTTTGCCAGTATGTCTACGTGTGCACACAGTCCTATTTACATATCACCTGGCAAATAAGGTTTTATAGAGTCCGAATTACAGTCTCCTCCTATTCTGCTGAAGTGCACAGAACAGTCAAACATGATGCAAATGCTGTAAAATATTAATTTACTCTCACATGGGTATGCCTACTTATTTCTAAAGTATTTGTGTTGCTACACCAGTTTCAGTAATGAACAGAGTTCACATAGCTTGTTGTTCCATCAGAGGGAAGAAACACAAGAACCAAAAAAGCAAGGCAGAGTGGATTCACTGCAAAAACATACAAAATACTAAACAAAAAAACAAAAAACAAAACAACCCCAATAATAGCCTATAGAATGTTTTCTACAACATATACACTAAACATAGAATGCTTAATATTTTAAAAGCACAGCAGAACTACATAACACAATTCCATTTATAGAGGAAGTTTACTAAGATAGATGGTCTAAATAACGCTAACGGGATAGTAAAGAGAAAATAATAGATAAATAAATACAGGAGATATTGTAAATAATTTGGGGAGAGTAGGCCAAATCTAAGGGTGTAATAAAAGACAATCTGCCATACACAGTGACAGAAGAATACATTTTCTTTGCATGTTAGGAGATAAATTGCTTATAGGTTAGGAGCTAAGACAATTATTACTAAAAACTTCTGCTAAATAACTCCCTCAAAAGGTGTCATGCCTAAAGAGCCCCTAAGTGGAATAAAGAGTTCCTCTTAGCCTGAATCAAAACAGCATAATCAGGGCAACCTCAGCCCCCTTAAGTCTCAAATTCTGTTTACACTACAATGAGTTTTCTGAAAAGTCATTTTCAGGTAGGATACCATTTTTGCTTACATTATGGCAATTACCACTGCATTTTCATTACTTCACAAATGGTATGCATTAAAAGTTATAGAAAAATCAATGAAATGTTTCTGCTAACATCAAACATATCAAGGAAAATATAATGCTTGTCGCTTTTTTTGTCTGTAATAGTTCTAAATGGGTTTCATTACATTTGGGAAGGTAACACACACTACAAACATTTATAGCACGCTAGCCCAGAAAGTTCATATGGATAAGGATTACAAAATATATTACTACACTGATAAAGACAAAAATATATAAATTATGAAACAGGAAAAAGATTTTTAAAACTGTCTCCACAAATAGAGATGATTTACCTAAATCTTTTTATCACTCCTACAATTTTAAGCATTTATATGTATTTTTTTCAAAACCTTGATCCAATTACAACTCTTTCAGCCAACATTTAAAAATATTCTCTAAAACAGCATTCAGTATGCTCATTATTATATCATCTCTTAAAGACATGTTGAATGGGTATTTTATTAAACTGAATTCAATGAAACTAAAATTTGAACAGCATAATTGAGGACTACAAAATTCATTCTTAAAAATGCGCAGTCCTTTATGGAACGCCCTGGGACAGAAATGATTATCTCTACTGAGATTTCTACAATGTATTATTCTCAACGCTTTTACAAAATAAGGAGGGCCTGCTTCTGATAACCTTGGAAGTATGACCGGAACTAAATCCGTTCTTTGAAGCAGTTAAGCTTGTCCATGTCTAAATCTCTCACAGAAGCCAACCATTCAAATTACTGATCTCTGAAAATAAAAAGCAATGGAAATCAAATTATTTATGTCCACCCTGAAAATGATGTCTACCCTGTCTCCTGCACTCTGTCATATTAATATGCAAGCATATCAGTGTTTCAGAATCTAAACTATGTGCTACCTGCTCACAGCTATAGTTGAAAGAATTAACATTCACTCCTACGCTAATTTTCAGGGTTTTAATAAAATATGTTTATCGACTAACTTCTAATAGGAAATAAAATGAGCCGCTGTTGCAATGTGTTAGTCATCAGAAACTGTCATTCAAGGTAAGTGCAAAAGTAAAATCCACTTGACATTTCAGAATGGAAAAAAAAAATAAAAGCATATTACACAAAAGGAATGTGAGTCCTTAAACTCTGTAATGACAACAAATAGAGGAGTCACAGAATGTATTTACTAATGTTTTAAAAATCTCTTAAGGCTGGCCTTTCCCAGGACTCAGAGACAATGAAATGTAAGGCCTTCTACGGGCACTTGACATAGAATCTGATGGCTAAGAGTTTTTCTTGAATCTCTCTCTCGAAGAGTAAGACAATTCAGAGGCCCTGGAGCCCAGTTATAATATTCCAGACAAAGTATCATATCATTTCTGTTAACCAAACCCTCTTAAAATGAAATCCAGAGAGGAAAGTATTGACTTTCACAGTTCCCAATCAAGTACATTTTTCATACTTATTTTAGCATTCAAAAATACATGTTCACGTTTTACTGCAAGAGATTTTCTGTATGTTGCAAAATATAATCCAGGACCTCCAAAGTGTGTATACAACTTAAAACTTCCATGCCTTACTTCATATCCTTGCTTCCCATCTATTTACGTCCTAGGGAAAAAAAAAAATAGCTTGTTTTAACCACAGAAGCACTTGATCTGAACAGGCCACAATCAAGTTACCAACCGCATAAACTCACTAAATAGTAGAAAGTCGTAAACCCCCTGTGGGGAAAGAATCCTAGCCCCAGGGCAAAAAAAAAAAAAAGGATTTACCAATTGAGCTATGGGGCTGTAAAACTAAAAACTGAAAAACAGACTGGCAGGATCACAACCAAATCAAGACATTATTATTCTCAATTACTTTCTCTTTCACATATCAGGGTTATTAAAATACTCCCCCTCAGGTGGATCGCCTGCGCCACACAAAAGCTTCAGCAACCAAAGCTACTTACTTTTCTCTCCTTTTTATTTTTTGGCAACAGGATTATTTTTCTTTGCCTACTGGACTTAATGAGGTGGCATCGTAATACAAAGAGGAGAGTGCTGCTCTAAATTACTAATGCTCATTAAATTATATCTCCAAATACAGTGCAAGTTGCTTATTGTGTAAAAGCATCACCCATTGTCAGTCTCCGAGCTCTAGGCCTCTATCATCTCTCACCTGAGAGAAAAACCTTGGTACTACTGACAGATGTAAAGATTAAGGATGGCCAAGAAGTCCAAATTAAAAATGTACCCACCCAGAATGGTCCCTCCAGTCAGTCCCATTTTTTGTGGATTATAGCGGCTATGATAATGGTAAAGTTGTGAAATGTGACAAGGGGGATATCCGTCCTACATAAACCCCTTCCACTGAGTCAACCCTTTAGAATCCCGACAGTGACAACATAGGTTCTAAGGGACCGGCGCTTTCCCACGTGAAGGGGTTAAATATCCACAAGGCCAAAGGCACCAGACTGCAAAAAAACCATTGCTTTGGTAAGTTCTGAAAGGTTTCTAACAAGTACCAAATACTTGTTGATCTGTTCACAATCAACATCAGCAGGACTGCCAGGCCTCTTTCACTGTGCGGGGGGAAAGGCATTTACCAGCTTGCTGGTCTCCTTTACAAAAGCTGAGTTGCTGCAAAGACTCATTCAGTGTCTCCTGTCCAAATGACCAAAAGAAGACACAACTGAGGCACTGGAGTCTCTCCTCTGACTGGAGCAGTACAAATCCTGTGCATAAAATACTTGGAGTAGCCCAGGCACAAGACAAACCCACCTGAATGGACGAGGCACACTGTCTGTTGCCATGGCAGCCTGATCTAATTACAGGAGTGATCAGGGCCCGGAGTAAATGCAGGGAAAACCTACACCATTGACACGGATCTACACGATGAGAAAGAGGCAGCCAGGAGGTCCACGGGAGCCCTTCACCCTCTGCTGTACACAGAAGGCGGCTCTCAAGCCCATTTGTCTGCTGAGCCGCTAAAATATTGACTGAGGCATGCACAGTTGGAGGACAATCAGAGGAGATCAAATGCCACAGCATTAGCTGTTATGGTGCAATCCCTTTCCAAGAGTCCATGTGCAGGATTTTCTCAACCTTCTCTTTGGTGGTTTCCTCAGGCACAGGCTTCATTCCACCAAATAAATAAATTTAAAAAAAAGAAAGAAAAGGAAAAGAAAAAAGGCCCAAGTATCCAACTGCAAATAAACCACAGGGTGGGCTAACAGGGGCTTCTAGGAACTACAGGGCTCCTGAGAAACCCAAACAGAAATGGCTTAGCTAATAACACTGTTGAAAAAGTAACCAGCTATGCCTAAAAATAACCATCAAGTAACTACCCACTGCTCTGTGCGATATGTACCGACAATGTTTAAATATTAAGAACAGCCTGCATTACAAAACACAAATGTCATTGAGATGTGACTACTAGATTGCCAAAGGAGAACTTATTTGCATATACACATTCCCGAGCCTGCACGAAGGGATGTGCAGGGAGCATGCCACTCTAAGACAGTAGTTCTCATTCTGTGGGTGTAATAGGGTCTTCTAATTTTACTAATTGTATCCCGTGGATCTCGCAGGGAAGCTAAGAATCTCTTCGGGGACAGAACCAGTTTGGAGGAGTCCCTACTGCACAGCATACGGTAAACAAAATAAAAATAGCTTGCCGTTCTCGTTAGCCACATCGCGCATTATATAACCAGCTTCCGACTGGCTTTTTTTTTTTCTTGCCCTTACTACTCTTCAGCAATTTCCCAATCTCCCGAAGTATTTATATTACCCTCTTATCTGCAGGATTATATACTGAGAAAGCAAAACAAAACATAACAGCCACAGGGTTGAACCGAACCCCACGGTCCTTGGAAACTGATTTTTTTGTTGTTGTTTTCTGGCAAGATCACCACCACCACCCTACTTCCACCCCCCCCCACTAAGGTCCTTGCTCAATCTCCCTAGAAAACCTGAATTGTTTCATCGCTTCCAGTCAGCCCCCTACGTGGTCTGAAATAAAATGAAAGCACAAGCCCCGGAGTTTAGGAAGGCGGCCTGAGGGCGGGGGGCTGGGGAGGGGTCGGGGCGCCGCAGAGTCAGCCAAGTGGCCCCCGTGGGGCCGCTCCCCACCGCGACGGCCCCCGCCGCCCCCCCCCCGCGCACACGCGCGCACACACATACACACGCACTCACACACGCACGCACTCACTCACACTCACGCCGCCGCCTCACCTCTCGCTCCGCCCGGCCGGCCCCTTGCCTGCCCCCTGCGGGACCGGCCTGCTCGCAGCGGTGGAACCACGTAGGAGGCGGCGGCGGCGGCGGCCGCGGGAGTGGCGGAGTCTCCGGCCCGGCCCAGAGTGAACGAGCAGCGGGGCTCCAGGGCGCATCCCAATCCCCGCAGCGCCTCCTCCGCCGCCGCCGCCTCCTCCTTCCCCTCCTCCTGGCTTCATTCACCCTCCCAGCAGCCGCGCAGCCGCTCACTCCCGGCGCCGGCAGGGCAGCGCCCGCCGCCGCTCCTCCGCTCCTGCCGCGGGCGCTGGCGGGGGCGCGGGCCCGGGCTGGGGCGCTCGCGGGCTCCCGGCTCCGGGCGGCGGCGGCGGCGGCGGCTGCACATGATCAGGAAGCGGCTGCACCAACAGGGCGGCGGTGGCGGCGGCGGCGGCGGCGGCAGCAGCAGCAGGGCCGCCACCGCCGCTCCAGCCGCGCTCCCGGCACCCGCACGTCGGCTCCCCCCGCGCCCACCCCTCCGCGCCCCCCGCGCTCCCACCGCCCGGCGCCCGGCCGCGCGCAAACTCCCGGCCCGCAGCCGCACACCCGGCGAGGCTGGCCTCCGCGGGGAGACCCCCGCCCGGGGCTCCGAGGCCGGGCGGCCACCCGCGGGGAAGCCCAGCCCTCCTCCAGACCCACTCGCTCCGCCGCCCTGCAGGGGGAGAGGGCTGAGGAGCGGGCGGCGGGAGGAGAGGGCAGCGCGACCCCCGGCCGCCGCCGCCGCCGCCGCCGCCGCCTACCCCTACGCCACCTCGAGGGAGGGGGACACGGCTCTCCGCACTCGCGGCCGGACCAGCAGCCACCGGAGCGGGGCGCCGCCGCCGCTCTCCCCGCCCGCGCCCGCACCCCCAGCCCGGGCGCGCCCCCTCGCCTGGCGGGCGCCCACCGGCCCGGCAGCCCCCTGCCGTCAGTCCCTGCGCCCCGCGCGGGGGTGTCGGCCCGGGAGGCTGGAGCGGGAGAAGGTTGTATGTACACACACACACACACACACACACACACACACACCCCACAACGACGCGTCGATTTCCTTCGCTCCTCTTCCAGCTGTTTTCGGTGCCGGCGACTGGGGTTTGGGGTTTGTTTGCTGGTTGTTGCTTTTGCCCCTCTGGAGAGCGGGGGTAGGGGCAAATTTTAATCTAAATAAGGGGCGAAGGGGATGGGGGAGGGGGGAGAGAGAATCAGAGGAGAAAAAAATAGCCACTTACTGTAAAGTGTAAATGGATCTGGGGTTGCGTGGGGAAGGGGGGGGCAGAGGGAGAGAAACAGTGTCTTGCGGCTGCTGTAGCTCGGGCGGCTGCTCCACGGGGCTGTTTTGGATCCCCCTGCAGTGAAACAGGTCCTGTACGGCTCCGCCACTGTAGTAGAAATGATGTCTGCGGTACACTCTGCTCTCTCCTCCTCCTCCTCCTCCTCCTCTCCGTCCTCCTCCTCCTCCTCCTCGTCCTCCTCCTCCTCCTCGTCCTCCTCCTCCTCCTCCTACCCCCCCTGCTCCCCTCCCCTCCCTCCTCCCTCCGCCCGCCCGCCCTCCCTCCCTCGCGCTCTCTCGCGCTCGCTCGCTCGCTCCAGTATGTAAATGTGTAATAGAAGCCAAATATGGAGCAGTTGGCTGCCGCCGCCGCAGCTCAAGGATCCGACTTGGGGGTGGGGGGGCACCCTCTGGCGGGCGGCGGGGCGAGCCGCTCGGAGCACCGCGAGCGCACGGCGCGGCGGCCGGCCGGCCGGCGCCCTTAACCCTTGGCTGCGCGCTGCCCGGGCTCGGCGGCCCCCGGGGAGGCGGCGCGTGGCCCGAGGCTGGCTCGGGAGCGGGGGGCGGGGGGTGCGACTCCGGCCGGAGGGGACGCTTCTTCCAGGTTTGGGAAAGGGGCGGGGAGCTGAAACGATGAGGTAATTTTAACGGTGACCGGTCGGTCCTCGCGCGCCTCCCCGGGTCCCTGCACCTAGTTGGAGGGGACAGAGCGACAGCGGGGTGCAACTCCGGGCGCCCTGGAGGACTCTCCGAGGGGTGTCGGGCTTCAGCTCGCAGCCGGCGAAATAGCCCCCTCCCCGGGGGAGGGGAGGGGGGCCAAGCGTGATCCCGACGTGCCCTTCGTCCCGGGCACGCCGAGAATCGTCTAAGAGGGCTGACTCGGATCGTGGTGCACGTTAACCCTCAAACCGCTTTCGTTCCGGACCAGGACCACGGGGCTGCGGGGATTGCCTCTGCGTGCAACTCAGGAAAGTTTGAAGGGTCCCCGCGACTGCATGTGCACCGTCACCTTTCCTGCCCGTGAAAGCGGGTGCCCTCCCTGCCCCCCCCCCTTTCGCTCTCTGCAGGTCTGGAAATCTGCTTTGGGTACTGAAGTCCCCAGTCCCAGCCTTGGAAGAAGACCCGCGCACTCCTTTCGCAGCTGATTCGGGATCATTAATTTAATCGGAAATGAGGTAACCAGTGCAGGAGATACAGAAAGCAAACCGAGCATCAAATGGCAGTTCTCATGAATCCACGCTGAGGAACTTCCTCTGCGCTCAATGCTGATGCGCGGTTCTCAGCTGCCCACCACCCCGCCCCTCCGCGTGCACCACCGCCAGGTGTTAGTCGGTGGGAAGGAATCTTCTGTGGACGGGTGCACCCTGCCAACAGGTGTGGCTCCTGGAGAAGAGCGAAGGCACCTCGGTGCTGAAGGGAGCTCAGTGCGGCGTTCTCCTTGCTGCAGATAATTCTGGAAGACCAGTAGGTGTCGGGGCAGCATTTGACCTCTTTCAGGTGCTTAGAACCAAGTGTCTAGAAACATGATCTTTCCACATAAGTTTCTCTCTGGAAGCCACCACTATTGACTGTAAGCTGTATTTGAGAAAGCTTTGGCTGAGTTTACGTATGACCTAACGGTTAGTCACCAACCGAAGCAGGATACAGAATCACCAAGAGAAATGTGTCAGCTTTTAAACAACTGTATTGTAGAGCCAACGTGCTACAGAAATAAAAATAAGCATACTAACAACTAGGAAGGTGTAGAGCCCCGGAAATAATTTTTTTTCTCGCATTTTGAAATACCATGCACATATACATGGCTATTTAAATAAAACTACTACTGTTCACTCTGACTCGGTTCTAAAACTTTTTTTTTCCTTTTTCATTTAAAACGCAATGATTGCTACAGTTTAAACCCCAGGTCGGTTTAAAGTGACATTGTTGGTCTCATTACAGCCTCTAGTGGACAGTTGAAATCAGTTTCCTGAAAAGGCTCTTCCTGGCGTTTTGTTGTTGACAAGCGTTATCAAGGTGAAGGCTAAGATCTCAGAACAGAACCGGAGACTGGCTCCTCCCCCTGCTTGGTGGATTCCGCTCTCGAAAGGATCAGAAGCAGTCGGTTCGGCACCGAAAAGACGAATGCTTTGTGCTATGGGCATTATTATTACTGGCCTGTGAATAAACAGAGCTTCTGCTATTCATTTCAGTTTCGGGCAGCTTTCATATAAACTAACTTCATCTAACGTATTTTTGTAACAGAAAATATTGGTTGCCATGTTTTTCTTCTGCGGACTGCCCAATCCACTTCCACTCTATTTTTAGACATTTTTACTTTGAGAGAATTTTCAGCCAAAAACAGCTAATATTTTAATTATTACACTGACACAGGCAGTTAATTTAAGTTATTTTAACAACCTTAAACAAATTAAAACACATAATTCAGATTAGACTAAGTCAATTAATTTAAATGTTCCCTTAAGGAAGCTGAATATGTATATTACCCAAACAGTAAAAACAATAAGAAATGTGTCATTTACTTTCTTAGCTATTAAGATTAAAGCCATAAAGTGTCATTAAAGTCTGTAACTATTCCTTCCTGCAAGGTGCCACGGAAACTATTCTCCTGATACAGTTTCGTTACCTTTAGTACTGCATTATTTTCAGATGGCGAAATATTAAATGTACAAATAACTGACACTTATTCTTTAAAAACAAGGCTCTGTCATGCAGATAAAAACTCCGTGAAAGGGCTGGGCTTTCAAGAAGCCAGTAGGCAAATATGTAGTACTACGGTCCTATTCATAAATCTGATACTGTGTTCATACAAACATAAGTCAAACTTTAAAATTAAAGGAAATTGAGAGGTAAGGCCTGCCTAGCCTTACTCCTAGTCTGTGTTCTGCATTGCTCAAACACCATGGAAAATGATTTTTTATCCCTTATATCTACTTCATTGTTTTGATAGTATCTACTTTTGAGGGCTTAAAGTGGGCTATCAGTATATATGATATCCTATCGTTATGTATTACATCTTGCTTCTTAAAAGCCTTATCTTCAGAGTAGCGGTAGCAGCAGCTGGGAGCTTTTTAGAAATTCAGAATGAGAGTTCCACCCCAGACCTACTGAATCACAATCTGCCTTTTAGCCAGCACCCCTGGTGATTCCCAAGCACGCTGTAGTATGAAGAACACTGTCCATACTACAGGGCTCTGTCTAGGTGCATTTGCCCACGGATGTAGAACTTAATTCTTCTATTTATTCCTTTGGTATTCCCTCCGCCTTTAACTAATTTGCACTTTTTAATGAAACACAATTACACTGTATGCTTTGGTCAGATAGTACTGTAGTTCAGACAAGAGCCCTGATTTCATGCGCAAATCTGCATCATCGTTGCCAAGTGGACACTCTGAGGAATGTCCTGGGGTCTTGAATGTGAAAGTTTTCTTGACGGCAGCAGAGGGAGCACAAGAGTGCTTAATAAAACAAGCATACAAGCCCTCCAAATCATCAGGGATTTTAAATTGTAGTCTATGTTTTTACTGGAAGTCGCCTCTTTCTTACATAGTTCAAAACAAAACAAAGACAAGCAAAAGCAAACAGCTTAGCAGGTTATAACAACTAAATTGAACGGATTGGAAGTTAAGTAGAATATAGATATACTTATTTAGAGTTCTAGACTTCATTTTTTTAAAGTGGGCTTCAAAAGTCATACTCGGAAAAGACCCCTTAGTTTTTCCTCCAGTGGAAAATAAAGAAAACAGAACCATTTCACAATAGATCCAAGTCATACCATCATGCTGTATGCCTTAAACTTACACAGTGATGTATGCCAATTACTTCTCAGTAAAACTGGGGGGGAAAATAATGCAATATGGCATTAGGTCACTCTAAGAGTAGCTCCTGCTTATCTTAAAAACATTGGGGTCAGTCAACCCAACACTACATCAGATAAATCAGGTTGATTTGGAGTCAAATATGTTGGTGAAAGAATGTGCACTTCTCACCATGTTTTACTTTCCCAGTAATTGAAGGGGGTTATCTTTAACATTTGCAGTGGTGAGCATTTACGTTTCAGTTATATCTATATAGCATTTCACACTTTTCAGAGCCTTCCCTATAGCATCTTCAAACACTCCTAAGAGAAAAAAAAGAAGAAGAAGAAAAAAAAAAAAAAAAAACACTCCCAAGAGGTGGATAAGACATTAGAGAGCCAAGCCTCAAAAAAGTTTTGAAACCAGCTTGTGCATTCATAGCATTGTCATTTAATTGCTATAATAATCCACTGAGGTGTTCACAAATAAGGGAAAGCATAGATGTTAAAGATCCAGCAGCATGTTGTTTACCGTTTCAAAGATTTTCCCAAGTTACTACATAGTGAATATTTAAAAAGTGAATATTTAAATAAGAGACTTAGGAACAGAGACTATGTCTTAATTCCCAAGCTGCTTTTTATGTATTTATCATTCATTTGCCAACACTAGGCCCTGAAAATATAAATGAGTAAGAAATCTCTGCAAGGAATTCCCACCAAAACAAATCGTATCTTTTGAAACTGTCCATTTTTACCATGATGAAACGTAAAGACTCATAGTCAACTGACCCTGCACCTCCCCAAATCAGTATATTCATCAGACGTAGGAACATGAGAATCCAAAACTAGAGTCCTTGAAAATTTGGCAGGTAGGAGGGCAATGGTAGAACTCTCTGGCAAAATTTGACTTACAAGCGAATACTAATATTTCAAGTTTGTAAGACAAACAAAATGTAAAGATATGCTGTGCCTTTTCTCTGAATGCCTTTCCTATCAAAAGAATCACATGAGGAAATTGAAGTGGTAAACACTTGTTTATTTTTTCCCTTTTAAAAATTGTTTTAAAAAGATTTCCTCCTACGTTAAAGAAGGATTTGCCAAGTTTCTGCCTGGAGCCATTTGTTATGGCTATGTAATAAATCCTGGAAAGTTTGAATTTTTAATGGAAATACCGACAGACCTTTAACCATGCTATTAGAGGGAGGGTGTTACCCTACATATGTAATTTTAAAATCTGAGCCAATCAGAGTGTACTGGCAAAACAAATATATCTTCCTCAGATTGCACTCCCAAATAAAGCTGGGGAGGCCAGAAAAGTAAAATAAACTAAAAACAAACGGGGCCCACACAATAGACTCTGAGGTCAGCTCACCACACCCAAATTAAAGTCACTGGGCTCAGTGCATAGCAGAGACTTTTAAAGATCCTGAATCATCTTTTTTGATCCTCCACCAAACTGTAGCAAGACGGCTTTTGGGCAATGCAAATTACATCACCAATAGTCAAGAGTGAAATTAAAGTTATGGTAGTCTACCAAAAGTTTATAGTTTAACAGTACACACATTAGGCAATTTTATTTTTTTTATTTTTTTTCCTTTTTTTATTAACATAATGTATTATTTGTTTCAGGGGTACAGGTCTGTGATTCATCAGTCTTACACAATTCACAGCGCTCACCATAGCACATACCCTCCCCAATGTCCATCACCCAGCCACCCCATCCCTCCCACCCCTCTCTGCTCCAGCAACCCTCAGTTTGTTTCCTGAGATTAAGAGTCTCTTACGGTTTGTCTCCTTCTCTGGTTTCATCTTGTTTCATTTTTCCCTCCCTTCCCCTATGATCCTCTGTCTTGTTTCTCAAATTCCTCATATCAGTGAGATCATATGATAATTGTCTTTCTTTGATTGACTTATTTCGCTTAGCATAATACCCTCTAGTTCCATCCACATCCTTGCAAATGGCAAGATTTCATTTTTTGAAGGCTGCATAATATTCCAGTGTGTGTGTGTGTGTGTATGCCACATCTTCTTTATCCATTCGTCTGTTGAAGGACATCTAGGCTCTTTCCATAGTTTGGCTATTGTGGACATTGCTGCTATAAACATTGGGGTGCACATGCCCTTTCAGATCACTACATTTGTATCTTTGGGATAAATACCCAGTAGTGCAATTGCTGGGTCATAAGGTAGCTCTATTTTCAACTTTTTGAGGAACCTCCATACTGTTTTCCAGAGTGGTTGCACCAGCTTGCATTCCCACCAACAGTGTAGGAGGGTTCCCCTTTCTCCACATCCCCGCCAACATCTGTCTTTTCCTGACTTGTTAATTTTAGCCATTCTGACTGGTGTGAGGTGGTATCTCATTGAGCTTTTGATTTGGATTTCCCTGATGCTGAGTGATGTTGAGCACTTTTTCATGTGTCTGTTGCCCATTTGGATGTCTTCCTTGCAAAAATGTCTGTTCATGTCTTCTGCCCATTTCTTGATTGGATTATTTGTTCTTTGGGTGTTGAGTTTGATAAGTTCTTTATAGATTTTGGATACTAGCCCTTTATCTGATATGTCATTTGCAAATATCTTCTCCCATTCTGTCTGTTGTTTTTTGGTTTTGTTGACTGTTTCCTTTGCTACACATTAGGCAATTTTTAAAAAAAAGATTTAATTTATTTGATAGAGAGAGACACAGCCAGAGAGGGAACACAAGCAGGGGGAGTGGGAGAGGGAGAAGCAGGCTTCCCATGGAGCAGGGAGCCCAATGCAGGGCTCAATCCCAGGACCCTGGGATCATGACCTGAGCTGAAGGCAGATGCTTAACGACTAAGCCACCCAGGTGCCCCCATTAGGCAATTTTAAATAAGATTCTGTCTAGGATTAGAAATCAAAAAAAGTGCTCTAGGATAGGTCTGCACTCCCCAGTGTGGCTATTCAGCACTTGAACTGTGGTTAGTTCAAACGGACGTATGTTGTAAGCATAAAATATACCTTGGGTTTAAAAAACTTAGCATGAACATGTACACACACACATATGCATACATCCATACATACACATATGTATCTTGCAATACTTTTATACTGATTAAATGTTGAAATGAAAATATTCTGCATATGTTAAATAACAAAATATATTGTTAAAATTAATTTTGCATGTTTCCTTTTACATCTTAATGTGGTTACTACGAAATTTTAAATTACGCATGTGGAAGGTCTGTGTATTATATTTCCAGTGGACAGCACTGGTAGAGATAATGGGGCGGGAGAGGTACAGGAATTAGTTCTAAGAACCCACAATTGGAGACTTTAGGATCCTGGCATGGCTCTCTGTGGGAATGTAGTAGATCACTTAATTATATTCTACCTTCCAGAGGTTTCCCCCTTGCACTATGTAATATAACATG